CTCCAGAGTGTCTGAATTTCTTTTATCACTCTTTCAGCTTGAATTTTCGTTTTTATTTTCAGAATCGGACGGAAGACCTCTCATTGCTCGCAATGAGTTTCTAGTTAGTTATTACTTTTGTAACTAAGAAAAGCTACAAAAAAGTTATAACTAAGTTTGGAACCACTTCATCAAATCGGGGTATAATTTAGTTATAACTTGGGTACAAAAAAGTAATAACTCATGTATAAGTTATTATCTTTTATTGCAATATAAAAACAGTAAGTGCTTAAAAGTTACAAAAAAGTTGTACTTCCAGAAATTTATACCTCATTAAAGTTACACAAAAGGTTATCAAAAGTTACAAAGTTATACTTTAGTTATATCCATATATTTACATTTGCTGTGTTTTTCTAGTAAGCCAACTGTGGAATTGATTTGAATGCCATTTTCGTGTATACTGTTGCGTAGAAATATACACAGAGAAACTCGCGCTAAAGTGACGTCACAGTGAGGCTACGGAAACGTTAATAAAAATATAAGGGGCAGTGAGAAATTCAAAAATATTTTGGTGCTTTAAACATGTAAAATTGTAAAATGTAAGATGTAAATATAAGGAATGTTATAAGGAATGTGTGAATTATCGGTGTGTACGCAGGTACGTTAAGGCAGTATCCAGATCATTTTTCGGCGAATTTAGACTTTTTTCGTAAAAAGTAACATTTATAAATCGGAAAAGCCATATATAAAACATATGCTATTATTATCCATTGTTAAGACGTCCTTGAGTTTTAGGCTAAAAGAAGCACTCAACTACGACGTCATCACATGACGTCTATAAATAGAAAAATTGCCTTAATGAAAAAATGAAAAGTTTAACACTACCCCGGGGATAATTCATTTCTTTTTGTAAAAATAATTATGTAAAAACATCACTGGGCCATGAAAAGTGCTGCTAGAATTTTACTCTCCCGACACAGAAAAAATTATTCTGAAGTTTTGCGTGAAACCTTACCAAAATGTTTACATTTTTTACATACAATCAAGGAATTGTAATCAATTCATGTTAACCATACGATTGTAGCAGCAATTTCCAAGTACTATAGATTACAAACTTTCGATACAAGCAAAAAATATGTTTCAAAGTAATCGGCATAGTGTTGAGCTTTTGCATCTTTGTTGTTAGAACGATCAGAGGAAAGGCTGATCGGGATTTCAAAACACTGCCTGTGTTCATTGTAAGAAAACATGATTAGAATAAATCAGCGTACATGATTCTTAATCTTTAATTCCTTATGAATCACACATAACATTCAGGGTATATGCTGTAAAACTCCCATTTCATACATTTGTTTACATGAATTCTCGTCACGTTTAATTTTCACTCGGCAAAAATTTCATCAATAGTTATGACGTCATGGGTTTGGTATTTAACCCCCGTGATAAATACTTAGCTAAATTTACCACCTAAAAACGACAAGATTTAGTTTATATTATGTTTTTGAATGATTCCATTCATTTTTTTGATCTGGAATTTGACTTTAAATATAGATATTAAGAAATCATTATCTCTAAAGTTCATGTCATACAGCTTACTATGTCGTCATACTGTAAAGGCAAGTAGGATATCTGAGTGTAGCCTTAACATACCCGCGTAAATCGCACAGACTTGCACGTAGGCATATTTTTCATATATCTACGTGATAAGTCTATGTGATTTACACACCAATTACTCAAACAAAACTTTAAAACATTCCTTAAATAAACAGCTGGAAAAGGTTACAAAAGAGTTATACCTGGAAAAAAGTTATCATAAAAGTTATAATATAGTTATACTTAATAAAAAGTTATCAAAAAAGTTACAGAAAAGTTATACCTTAAATAAGTTATGCCTACAACAAGTTATACCTAATAAAAAGGTATACTTATGGAAAGTTATAACTACACAATGTAATACCTTCAAAAAGTTATAACTACAAAAAGTTATGACTATAAAAGTTATACATAGAAAAAGTTATACAAAATAAAAATTATGAAAAAGTTACAGAAAAGTTATATACTTTATGTTGTATCTTGTAGTGGAATTACTCATTTAGGCTATTAAAAAAGCTACTCCTGATAATTTATACGAAAAGGTTTCATAAAAACTTACAGGACTTACAGTTTTATTTTATGACAAGGATTAAGGGGGCTTGACTCATTGTCAAATTATACAGTTGAATGCATAAGCATGTTTTCATGTCTACTTTATACCCCCAAAAAAGTTAAGGGGGGTTATACTGAAATCACCATGTCCGTCTGTCTGAAAATGTAATTTTGTCCAGACCTGTTCTCGGAGACTATTGCATGAATTTGTCTTAAAATTTGTAAATAATTAGTCATCATATGAAGGTGTACATCTCATATGAAAGTGTACATCTGGTATTTTCATCCTGATTGGATAATTTTGCTATATTTTACAGGGGTTTTTTTTATTTGACTTAGTCATGAATTTTGTGTTTTCAATGCTCTTCGTAAGAGGTAAAATGCATTTCTTACAAAAACACCAAAACCTAAACATAATTATATGATTGAATAATTCCCATCTCTCTGATTGGCTGAGATCCAACAATGTTAGAAAAATACTACGTTATATTGACCTGCACGTGACCTTCCAGGTAAATATTATACAATTATGGACTCTTTCGGTGGTGAATATGGTTTGTTATTCACCAGAAAAATATATTTTTCTGGTGAATAACAAACCATATTCACCATCGAAAGAGTCCATAATTGTTTTATTATATAGTCAGGATTTGAATAAATAAGACATTGAAGGCTGCATGATCATGACCTACCATTTTCATTAACAAATCCCTGCCATAGAAAAATTTAAAAAAAATGTCCAGATTACAACTTATAATTTCCGTGTTTTCCTTTTGCTGTGTGTAAGACATCGAAATGTTCGGAAAATAATCCTGCGATAGACTTGTCTAACACTTTTCCCGCTCAGATTCACAGCTGGCTCCGGTCGTTACAAGCATTTCTTCAACGTTGTTCGAGGTATTAATTGTGACCTCACAATGCCACCGCACGCGCACTGACCCTTCAGTGAAAACGGCTTCAAATCCAGTGAATATGTAGTATTATGAACTGTTTGCGTTTGTATAGTTTACATAGGGACTGTTTATAGACTATACCGGTATAATAAAAGGAATTATTTCGAGGTCAATATAAGGAATTATTTATTCTACATTGAACCAAAAATATATAATCATATAATAAAACAGTTATTGCTGTTTTTTTTTTAGGTCAATACGATGATTTAGACACCTTCGAAGTACAAAATTCATCTCGCCCTTCGGGCTCGGTGAATTTTGTACTCCTCCTCAGGTGTCTAAATCATCGTATTGACCTCAAAAAACAGCAATAATTGTATTTTATTGACTTTCCGACTGCTTTATCACCGATTTCCTCTCAACATTTTTACCAAGCTAATTTTCAAATCGCCCATGAAAAATCCACGCTCAGTTCTTGACCAATCGTAGAATTTACGTGATGAAAAATTTAATGATTCATAATTAATTTATTCTAAACCCAAATAAAAATAGTTACATATTTTAAAACTCAATTTTATATTTAAAAGCCAATTGGTGTGAAAATTTCGAAACATATTTTTAACGAAACGGACATCTTTTTTTTTTGGGGGGGGGGGGGCATTTTCATTTTAATATTTTATTTCTTTTTGAAACTAACAAGTAAAACTGGGTTTTTTAATCAAGCAAATAATAAAATTCATATGTTCAAGTCCTCTACTAAAATCTTAATACAACTGGCAGTCTTTATTCCCAACATCGTAATATCTGTTACTACATGAACATGCACATACTGTATGTTTTTGTTTATCTTTCTTACCACACATATTACGACTGATTTCCTTAAGATTCAAAAAAGCCTGCGTAAAAATGTACCATTACATAATACACAAGCCGAAATTTACAAGGCATAGGCCACAAAAGTCACCTTGTACAAACACCAGTGTCACGAGAAGACAATGGGGAAATTAACACTGTTTTTGCAAACTATGCAAAATATTACATGAATTCATGAGATTATATAACATTTTATTACTGTTTGTATACGTATTTAAGACAACTCCCCACCCCACCCCCGCCGCCATTTCTTTTTAAAAAATATCTATAATGCTCACAGAAAAATATAAATGATTGCATAAATAAAACAGTCTAAAATCTGAAAGAATATTGCAATTATATGAATAATTTTTAAATCAAGAAAACTTCAGCATAAACAGTGGTATTTTTACTAGCTCTTAATTCTCCCCACTTTTTATGCATACCTAGAAAGATATTATGTAACTATACAAATATAATTATGCCTATGTATTATTTTTAATGCAATTAAATTTTTACAGATATATTAAAAAATAAGATTAAAATTTGGTATATTAGATGTACTTACATAAAAACAAAAACATTCAGTTCTACTAAGAAGTTGTCTGCAAAATGACTAAATCAAAGTAACAGAGAGAAAGGGCAAAATCCTGAAAAGATATGTTTTAGTAACATCTGAAAATGGCTAAGTCCAAGAAGGTACAAAAAGTTATACTGTAAAATGACCAAGTCCTGCAAAGTTATCTCTTAGTTATCTGAAAATGGCTAAGTCCAAAAGGTACAAAAAAAGTTATACAGTAAAATATATACAGTCCAGAAAAACTTGTACTTTAGTTTTATCTAAAAATGGTTAAGTTCATTTAAGGTACAGAAAAGTTATGACTAAAATGTAACTTTATCTCGAGGTACAGAAAAGTTACAGAAAAGTTATAACTTAGTTATAATTCTTTTCGGTATGTGCAATACCAAACCAAACAGCTTGGAACGCATTTCTCGGTTGTTTTGGATAACCCTAATAAAAATATGTAGGAGAACGAATCAGCTGACGAAGGACAGAATAGCCATAGTGACTTGGGTAAGTTCTGTGGCTCATGGACCTTGTTACTTTGGTTGTTATCATATTTTTTTCAGCAGTACATACAGGTATATGTGGAAATGGAAGACAAGGATTGATTCCAGACCCATCTAATTGTGCAAGATATTACAACTGCTCTATGGATCTTGTCAACCCTTCCTCTCGGGAATGTCCTTACCCATCCCTATTTTCCATTCTTCATAGAGGCTGTGTCAGTTTCGAAGTTGTCCAATGTGGGGTCAGATATGAACCACAGGCACCTTGTAAGTTATGATTTTAAAATTCATGAAGTCTCCATCAATTCAGTTCAACTGTCATTAAGATTAATCACTAACTTAATAGATATATTGTTTTGCATTAGAGTTTAAGATAATATTCCTTTACAGGTGAATATCAACAGAATCTTTGCTCAAATACTGATCCAACCTGTCTACCTTGTCCATCACGACTTCCAAGCTGTATTGGGCATCATGATGGGGAGAAGGCCTTCCCAGGTCATCTCTGGACAGCCTGGTATATTGAATGCTTCAAAAACCGAACAATTGAAGTTGGCAACTGTGGAAGAGGTGTTTTTGATCCAATTCTTGGAGACTGTGTTGCAGATGTGGACAAAAGTAATGGAAGATTCTCCCTTACAAAGCTTTTACTAACAGAACTTGAAAGTTGCATTCCTTTAATTTATTTAAAAGCAGTCAAAAGAAAGTTCAGGTCTCTGGAATGTTTTATTCAGTTATAAGCTAAATGCACTTACTTTTTATAACTAGGGGAGAGCATTGTTATTTAGATATCAGTTTTAAAATCAATGAACTTAAATTTCAGGTAACATTGACAGATACTGTGAATTTCATCCATATGCAATTGTTCCATACCCTGAAAACTGTGGCCAATATTTTGATTGTCGAATGAGGGATACAGTGCTTGGAAGCTACATTCATGAATGCACTTATCCACAATTATTTGATAAAAATTCCATGAGCTGTGCAAGTCCAGATTCTGTTTCCTGTGTCAATCAATATATACCTGTTAAACCATGTGAGTGTTCAAATTGGGTATTATGTTCTCCAAACGACGTTAGAACATATTATTTTTGCTCTGTTTCTTCTTCTTCTTATTATTATTATTATGCCCCTCCCCTCTGCAAACGAAATTTAAGGGGGATGAATAGGATTCAGCATATCCGTCTAGCTGTCCGTCTGTCTATAGACGGAATTTTGTCCGGACCTGTTCTTGGAGAGTATTGCATGGATTCATCTGAAAATTTGTTCACTCATTATTCTATAGCCATTAACCAAAGAGTTAGGGGTCTTACATAATTCATATTTGATATATTTGAATATTACAATATTTACATTTCTATTTTTTGCTACATTTTCTATTTCATTCATTCTAAGCATTTAATTAATACAAATACAAAGTTAAGCAGATGGCTTGTATATATGTCTACTACATTGTTATCTTATCTTTGAAATCAATTAAGTTAATCACCTATGCAATTATCTTTTGTTACCCTGAAGACAGTATAGGTGTCATGCTAATTAATACTTTATCTGTCCATATCACTCTATTGTTAAGATATCAAACAATCTTGAGTAAATCAAATAATCACTTAATTCAGCGTAAGGCAAAGGTTATATTTTTTTCAAAGGGCAAAGAGATAATCTCAGTAGTAGCAGTTTAGAAGTAAGAGAGTTGGGAGTTATATAATGTTAGAGCAGGTAGCTAGCACACCCAGTCTTAAGGTATTCAATGTATAATGAAGGGGTTTGAACAATTTTGAATCATCTTAATCTCGTTAAAAATACATTGCTAGATAACGATGAAAGTGAAATGAACCAAATTCACATGACAGATAACATGTAAGAGGCCAGTCATTTTTTGCCTTAAATGTTTTTGAAGAGTTATCTGCCCTTGATGAAAAGAAGAACATTTTTATTTTTTCTAAATATCTATGGTGAATGATTCATTTTATTTCATATTATAATAAAGAAAACGTTTATGCATATATCCACTAAGAGATTTGTATGAAATTCAAATTACTTTTTTCATTATCTTAATAAAACATGCGCTGCCCAAAGACTTCAATGTTAACTTCAAGGTACAATTAATTGCACAATAAATAAAATTGGGTAAATTCCTTTGGTGGAGTATTTTTGTTTGATAACACCTTCAAAATGCTATCATGATTTAAAAATCGGACCATTCATTTATTAGGTACAAAAATGGTCGTTATACATTGAATACCTTAAATGTAAATAATGTACAAATTACTTCTTTGATAAAGACTGCAAAGACATTTCATCTTATGTCTTAATCCTTGACAGTTCCATGTCAAGTTCAGTAACCATGTAAAAAGGTCACTGCGTGACCGAGTGTTGAGGCCAGGTGTGTGCGGTAGGGTGCACTAAGTACGACCTCTACCTACCCCAAGCGGCGGTCACAATTCTCCATATAAAGATGTGCACCTGCAGGTATGCTTATGAAGCTATCTTAGGACTAAGACATCTCTTAAGACGAACTTACGACATAACTTAGTCTTAAGTAAAGCCAGCGAAGCTATCCTATCACAGGAGACTTTCTAATCTTAGTCCTAACTTTAAGACGACGAGGAGGGTGTCCTAAGACATATCTTAGGTGCTTTAAGAAGCGCTGCTGCCAGGAAAACCAACTATTGATTTGTTTATTTATTTATTAATTTATTTAAATCAATTTACTAAACATTATACCGTGTCACTGTTTATCTGTATATGTAAGCATGTACCTGAATAAAGGGAAATTGATAAATTGATAAATGAAAATCCATTCATTAATTGATGTAGTAATCATTTAGCAGGTTAAATCGTTCTGAAGTAGTTTTATTTCAACTCTTTTGAAATGTATGTAAACATATACATGAACCAGTTATTAATTTGTTCTCTGTTTTGGTGTAGGAGGATGTAGTCTTATCCTTATAGGAGTCTCTCTCTCTCTCTCTCTCTCTCTCTCTCTCTCTGAATTCACTGACCTATTCACTGAAAAATCTGACATTTCCTTTGATGTTTTTTTGTTGTTTTTTAATCGGTTACGACAGTAGGAAAATTGTCACTTTTTCAGTAGTTATATCCTTATTAAAATTATTTGAGTACAAGTTGCGCATTTAATACGTGTGTATTGCACCAACCTGGTACATGTGTTGTAGACCCAGCCGGTGTTAATGATATAGAAAACTTACCATAGAAAATATTGAAACAAAATATATGCGGGCACTACCCCTCCTTTTCCCAGAGAGATTCCTGTTGATCATATTGGGGCAAACAACAAGAAATTTTGGTTTGAAAATACATCTAATTATTAATAATCATCGGTCTCTACATGTGTATGATAAATATAATGTTTTAGGTTTAATCTTAAGGTAATACGTCACAATAGTGGTGTTGCATATTGGAATTCCCCCTTCAAAACTGCCTTTTCTAAATTACTTATCCAGTAATACAAATACACATACATGTATCTGTGAATAAACCAACGTATAAAGTTTCGCTTTTTTATTTGTTTATTTCTTGCAAGCTAGATTGTAGACAAGTTCTCTGTTATATCTATTACAGCTTAATACCTGAAACGGGATAAGAATTGACTAAACAGCTACAAATGTAGCAGAAATCGATGAAATGGCGCAATTACAGATTAAATGTGTTAAACTTACTAATACATATCATATGCGGATCCATGCATTTCAAAAAAATTCAGACTCAGATATTTTTTGATATTCAAGGGGAAAAAACCACCAACTTTTCCTAGCCTGATTGACCTTTTCTTGTGTGTATGGGGAGGGTGTGTGTGTGTTGGTGAGGGTTAAGTCGCTTGTCTCTACAAATACACAGAACATGGTCATGTATATGACTTTCCTTAAATTGCCATTTTTACCAGGGGTCCATGTTTTGTAGGGTTTAGTTTACTGCATACTTTATACTTTTAATAGCCCCCAAAAATCATGAACATAGGAACAACGTGTAATATTTCTTTTACAAAAATTAAAAAAGAAAAAAAAAGATCTGCTTGGAGTGGAATTTACGACATCTTGATTTCTAAGATACTTTCGTTTTACACCCTTAGACGTATCTTAGGATAGTCCTAAGATATGTCCTAAGTAATATCTTAAGACGCATCTTTTCATAAGCATGCCTGCTTGTATTTTCATAATGGTTTGATAATTTACTGCATTTTACAGGGTATGCTTGGACGAGGGGCCCATTCTTTTGATTTTGACAATAAATTGAATCAAAACATTTATTTGGAAAAAATCATTATATCAATTACAGTTTAATACACCATTTATATAAGAATTAGAGTCATTATCTTGAATGTCTCTCAAATAAAATTCCCTGAAGTTCTTCGATAAGGATAAGTCTCCAATGTTCGGTAATGAAATACCACTTTTCAGAGCTGCAGAAGAGGATGCTGCACGAATCGGATGTGCCTTAAAAGTACCTTAAAAGTACTTATGTCTATTCCTGCACTTTCCATAACACACTTAATCCACCTAGCTATAGTACTTGTGGAAACTTTATCGAATGACCTAAATGAGACAAGAAGTTTCAGATACTAATTGGCTTAGCATCAATATACTTTGTCAGTTGATGTTTCTTGTTCTTGTCAATTGAAAGGTCACAATGACCTGCTTTTGAAATTTTATAACTATATATATTACAAATAATAAACGACTTAGGATCATTAAATTTTCTCAGTAATGCATCACGTCTACTGATTATGTCAGCTGAAAAGTAGGTCACCATGACCTTCTTTTAAAATTTTATGTCTATATCTGAATATTTAAATAATAAAGGGCTTTGAATCATCAATCTTTGACAGTTGATGCATCTTGGGTTCTAAAAGTGTTTTAATCAAAATGTAGGTCAGGATGACGTACTTTTGGAATTTCTAGGCTTTATCTAAATATATAGAATACTTAGAGGCTTTAAATAGAAGTGATAGGTTGTACAATTTATTAGAAGAACATTCATAGGCACTTGGGCCTCTTGTATTTTATCTTTTCTGAGCCAAAGGCTCAAAGAGCTAATGCTATGGCTATTTGTGCGATGTGTGTCAACGTTTTGGAATATGGGCCATAACTCAAGAACCCCTTGACCATTTTTTTCAAATTTGTCACAGAGTCTACCTGGCTCAAGGCCTTTCATTTCTACGAAAAACACGGATGTGACTCTAAACAAGGGGAGAGAATGAGGAAAAAATAAAAACAAAAGTACTGGTTGCTTAAAAGTCTTCTCAAGAAATACAGGGCAGATTATCACCAAACTTATACACAAGGAGAAGAATAAATTATTCGAGGCATCACCCTTGGTCACCGTGACCTACTTTCTGAATGTTATGGCTACTCATTTTCAAAACATTTAAGGTCATTATTTAAAATGCTAAGAGGTTTTGAATCATCAAACCTTGTACGTTGCCTTAAAACATATTTATCAAAAAGTAGATCAAAACGACCTTCTTTTTTAATTTTATGGTTATAATTAAATATTTCATATCCAAATTGGCGTAGAATCATCAAACATTGTCACTTGATGTATCTTGGGTCCTTGAAGTATGTCATCTGAACAGATGGTCACCATGACGTACTTTTGAAGTTTTATGTCTCTATATAAATCAAATACTAATTGGCTTAGAATCATCTAACTATGTCACATTGATGTATCTTGGGTACTTGAATGTGTCAACTGAAAAGTAGGTCACAGTGACCTACTTTGGAAATTTGAAGGCTTTATCTAAATATATAGAATATTAAGAGGCTTCAAATGGAGGTTGTACAATTTATCAGAAGAGTGATTCAAGGCCCTTTGGCCTCTTGTATTTCATTCTTTTCTTACTTTTTTCCCGTACAGGTGACTATGCTCTGAGTAAATGTAGGACGCCTGACTGTATTCCTTGTGAGGAACGCTATACTCTCTGCAAGGACAGAGAAGATGGTGCCAATGCCATGCCCGTGGAGGAAGTCTCCAGTAGATATGTTGTGTGTAAATCTGGCATGGCTACTGGAATCATGTTTTGTCCTGATGGAGAAATATTCAGTTCTCGAGAAAGGAAATGTCTAAAAAGTAACCAAAGTGAGTGTTAGTTTAACAAATTCTCTCTCTTTCTTAAAAAGGGTTGTCGATGTACCCAGTAAACCGTTAACAGTCAAACAATGCGAACAAACAGATACTTGGATAAGAATACATTTTACATAGTAACTACATGAAAAATAAAGTTTTATTGTTTTTAAATGTATACTTACACAATTCCCTAATTTTGTTTCTTTTTAGAACTTGTTGTAGTGGTTTACAAATAGGATTGATGTTTTAGTTTCACAGTTTATATAACTGATAGTTTTGATTGCCAGGGGTTATGTAAGTTTTGAAGACCTGAGTTATAATTACCTCATTTAGACCTGGGCTAGTCAGAGGAACAAGTTGCCGCCAAAGACATCTAAAGCTTGGAAGTGTTTTAAAAGAACACTGATTTGAAATATGTAAAATTTAAATTATGTGAATTGGCATCATCGTATAGGGGATGCAAATATGTTCAAGCGCCTAAAATTAAAACATAATTAGGAAACCTGCGGATTTACTAGACATTCTACAAAAACAAGCAGCAATTGCATGGTATGATAAAGGTCAAGATTTTTAACCGTACGGTTTTCTTAGGTAAGAGGAGGGACTTAATTTTACATGCATGGTATTGCAAGGCATTGATGGTCGTGCAGAGGGCTAATCCCTAAACACAAACAGTATTACTTGTACAGCTTGTCTGGCCTGTATTTCATTGGGAGATAAATTTACAGTGACTGAAACATTATTGTTGTTTTCAATATACACAAATGATCACATTACACGAACGAACGATTACGCGAACGATTTGGCAAGATTAATGCATGATTAAACCCGTTTCACAAACAATCCTTCACGCACATGTTCCTGCACGTTACTCAAAGGATCACGATTGCTAATGCATTTAAGAATGTATAGTTTCAAAATGAAATGACTTAGTTATTTTAGTTTCAAAATTGTTATTTATGTAAATCACCGACATATTAACTTGATTGATTGATTGTATGTTGTTTTATGTCCCATTCGAGAATTTTTTATTCATATAGAGACGTCATATACCGGTGAAGGGCTTCAAATTTTGACCTTTATTCGGCACTCAAGGCCATTGAGCAGTGAGGGATCTTTATCGTGCCAACGCCTGCCGTGACACGGGGCCTCGGTTTTTAAGGTCTCATCCGAAGGACCCGCAACTTTCACTTCAGAGTGCCGAGCGCATGGCAAAGGAACAGTTGCTACCCATTTTTATCGATTTAGGTCCGTCGCGGCCGAGATTCGAACTCACGACCTCCCGATCACGGAGCGAGCGCTCTATCGACTGAGCTACCGTGAACGGTTATTAACTTGAAAATATTTTTTAAATTGTATGATATGTAATTTAATGATCAATTTCCGCATATCATATCAGATTATATAAGTGGGCAGTGAGTTTTGATTTTATTGGATTTTAAAGATGGAGAATTTAAGGGGAGGATAAGAAAACATAACATAAAAAATGAGAATTAATAATACTCAGTACAGTCAAAGCTCGTTATCTCAATCTCAGTGGGACAAAGTAAAAACTTTGGGATATTAGGATTCGAGATATCAAGGGAAAATACGTTAAAATATACGGTAGTAGTTGGGACTTTTGAATCACTTCGACATACCCTTGGTATTTGAGTTATGTGTTCGAGATACCCAAGTTCAACTGCATATCCTACTTTTCAACTGTGTATCTGAAATATCAGCCACTTTTATCACTTCATTAATTAATTTTGCATACCGGTCACGGTAGCCTAGTGGCAGGGCGCTCGCTTCGTAACCGGGAGCCCCAGGTTCGATTCTCGTTCAACGCGCTGCGTCAAACCTAAGACGTAAACATAGGTAGTGACTGTTCCTTCGCCAAGCGCCCGGCACTAGAAGTGAAAGTCACAGGTCTTTCGGATGAGACTTTAAAAAACGAGGTCCCATGTCTCGGAAGGCGTTGGCACGATAAAGAAACCTCACTGCTCAATGGCCCTGAGTGCCGAGTATAGGTCTAAATTTGAAGCTCTTCACCGGCATACGGTGACATCTCTCTATGTGTGAAAAATTCTCGAATGGGACGTTACACAGCAAACAATCAATCAATCAATTTATTTAGCAGAATTTATGAAAATAAAGTAAGTATCCAGGATACAAGTAATCCTGGTTATCATGTCACGTATATCACCGTATACAACGGGTAACGCGGGGGAGTCGCTAAAATATATGGGGGAGGCGTTTTCTGCGTATGGGGTAGTATATTTTCACCGCTTCGGAGTCAGAAGGGATGTAGGTCTTGTTTTTTTTTTCGGGATTTGTAAGATGTATTTACAAAAAAAAATATCCCACGGAAGACACCAATAGTTAAGCTTTGTCTTGGTATTTGGTCCGGCTATCATATACGTGTAGTATTCTAAAACACTTCGAAACTATTTGACAGATTTCATATTCACAGCGATCGAGTGGTCAAAACAACGTGCATGTTTTGCACAATCTAAGACTTGCAAAGGGCTTCTGACAGTTAAAACAGAAAAGCAAACGTTTATCTTTTAAATGCAAGAATTAAAACTTGACTAGACTTCATAAGAATTAATAATCGGGGCATTTACTCTTCAGATAGTGATTGTTACGTGGGGGGGGGGGGGGGGGGGATCTGGGAAAACACAACGCATTGGAGAGTCTCAATTTGGGGGCGTTTTTATGTGGGGGTTTTTTTCTGACAGTATCTACTTGATGTAAGCATCTTATTTACTCGATACGTATCTTTAAATCGATGTTTGGTTCCTTTTGCAGTTACGACAAGAAAAATATTTTTTTTCTCTGGCTTTATTAGTTCCAGAAAAAAATGGTGATAAATAACAGGATTATTTATATATCACTAGATGAAATCCCGCGCAAGCGCGGGGAATTGAATTTATACCACTATCGACAGAAAAAATCCAATAATATATATATTGTAGTTTCTACTGACAGCCAACAGGCTTATAGCAGGAAGAAATACTTTGTTCAAAATCCCGCATGAAGTAGAAGTACGTCTCCACCCCCCCCCCCACCCCCCATCACCCCTTGTAAAACTTAAATAACAATTTCGTTAATTGACGTTTATTGTGAAACCTGTTATATACTATATTATGGATATTGTATATACTGTGTTATGGATATTGTACTTCAGATACTCTTATTTCATTTCCATCAAGAAAAGCACATTCCACTGATAAATTGAATTTTTTTGGTAATTATTCACAGGTACTTGGGTCTTGGTTTATAAATATGTATGTACCTTATTGATATGTAAAAACTGTACCTTACCTCTTTTTTTTACATATCAATAAGGTACATACATATTTATAAACCAAGACCCAAGTACATGTGTAAAAATTAGCTTTTATATAACGCCCTATGAATGCACTGGCGGATTTAGAGGGGGCCCAGCCCTCCACTCTCATTTTGTGTCCAAAATATACATAAAATTTAATAAATCTGTGTCTGTGGGCCCCTACCCCAACCCCAAACTAGTCGTCCCCCCCCCCCCTTTTCAAAATTCCTAGATCCGCCACTGGAATGGGCCGAGTATTTGATACAAAAGACTGTTTTCAGAAAAAAAACTGAAATGTATTGATTAAAGTACAAAATTTTACAGCATAATTGTATTTGAACAATGCCTTGTTCATTAATTTTCTCTTTTCATGTAAGCAGGTTTATTACGAATTAAGTCCAAATTGTACTTCGGGTTCGTTGCCACGATGCTCTCAGTGAGGAATATATACAATTTATTAGGAAAACCTACTAATTATATGTAATAGTCTTTCGATATATAAATATATTCACAACTTACAGTGTTATCAATGATTTACCATTATTTCAATGACCATTCACACAAGTTTTTTTTTATGTTAAAGCAGCTATTTTCTTTTTAACATCGGGCTCGATGCTATATGATGTTCTAGAAGCTTCCGTCAATATTACGATCGGTGAATGACAGAAATAATTTGCACATTTTCCTTTTTAGTCGGTTATCACAACTTATTTCTTTTATATCATTTAAATCAAGTTTTGATTGAATAATTCAGTAATGACGTTTAATGAAATAAATAAACGATTGCTTGTTGCCAGTTTCATTAAAAATTGCCAGTAACTTAGATCCGCCAACCGGAAACGCCACCGTACTCATGTTTTTGCTATTCCATGGCTGCTTATAGAAAATAAAAGTAGACTTCTAATTTAATGTACGATACTTACGATGCAAGTGAAATCTAAATATAGTTTACGGACATCATCTTGTATCAAGTGTATTCTTAGAGGAGTAAGTAAGAACTCTGGTGCACCCGTTTCGGAGTTTATTTGCAAAATTTATTAATTTATAAGTATAGATAGGAGCACAGGTGCTTGGGGACAGGACCCTCCCCATACCAACAAATACATTAGAGGCTTCTAGAGTTATTTTTCCATGACATTTTAAGCATATGTTGATGTATAATGTACTAAAAAAAAGTCACAATTAAGGTGGTATGGGACACCAAACGAAAGTTCTCCTACATATTCAATTACCTTAATTAGGAAGATTTGAAATACCCCCACCTTTCAGTAGGTTAAATTGTAATTTTAATAAATTTACTTTATCATTTTCATGAGAAATACAAAAATGATTTTTTTTTCTTATATAATTCTTTATATATATATAATTCTTTTTTCAAAAGTTTAATATTACTAATATAAAGTGTATATAAAAACAAAAATGACATAAAATATGTCTAAGTATTTTTAAATTTTCAACAAAAAATAAGCGTAAAAAACTGGGAAAACTTTATTATTTTATCTTGAAAACAGACGGATAACATTTCATGAGAGTCTAAAATTAGAATGTATCTTAATATGTTAGTAAAGTGAAATAAACAAATTGAAAAATATATATATAAATGGAAAATATAAAATGCATTTAAAATTTTTGGAATTAAAAGATCCGAGCGGAAGAGTTATCCTTCTTTATTTTAAAAGGGTTGAAAATACCTGAGTGC